AGTTGTTAAGCGACGCGTACTCCTTGTATTTTAACACTATAGATGCATTCATTACGTTATATTACACTCGTGTGACGTTCTAATAGGCCACAGTATTTTAGAAACGAGTCTGGAAAGATTTATAAACTAGAAACTGTATTTCCTCCTTCATATCTGAGCATGAAACTATAATGCATCTATGCGTATCTTCTGCTGTAAATAAATCCTCTTGGATACAAGCGGTTTTAAGACACCCGCCCCCCTCAATAAAACTGTAGGAGTGCTAAATTTGGTGGGTTAAACGCGGGTGCCAGCAAAGGATTTTGCTTTTAATATCACAACTTATTATTCTAATATTTTGTTACCCATTACTTTTTAATAACACATTAGTTATTACAGGGATTTTATCAAGTTCATATGACATAAAATTTATATCAATTCATTTTTACTTATGACAAAATATATCGGAAGGTTAAAGGAAAATACGGAAGATTAAAGTTCATAAAAACTACAAGTTTGGAGTTGTTCTGGAATTCCTTCCGTATTTTCAAACACAGCGAACTGCTTTCCTCGGTACATTTACCGAGTGCACGTTGGCAGCGAAATCTGCGCCAACGCTACTACCGGGTCAGTGAGTTTGGCAGAACATTCAATATCTCCATTCATCGCGTGTCGCAATATCACTCAAGAAATTTTATCTAACACATTTCAGGAATGCATGCCTGCAATTAGCCATATTTACTCAAGCACTTTTGTGAAAACTTCATTGAAATATTCCAACCGTTCCAATTGAAATATCTTCAATAGTTCAAAAATGACAGGAGGTGCTCATGTTACACGACATCTGAATAATTGTACATTACAGATTCACATGCGTGAGACTTCCATGCAAGAAAAGAAACTCCACAACAGTTAAGAAAAATATAATTAAAAAGTATAAAGAGTATAAAATAGTATACCATATTACACACAACGTACGTATAAACATAACATTCTGTACAATACAATATTACTATTACAATCAAAATAACAGTGTAAACAGGGAAGTAAAAAGTTTGATTCTAAGAACATATTTAAAAAACTTAAAGCTGAGCGTTCAAAAACTTAAAGCTGAAAGAGACACGTGTTGTGAGTTGAGACAGGTATATTCGGAAGTTTCATTGTTTCAGAATGCCTTATACCCGAGCCTTTCTTTGCCAGTCCTTCTTAGTTCACGCCGTCTCATTACTTGCCCTTCTTCCCTTTGCCTTTCTTTTTCTTTCTTGCTGCCAGCACCTTGGGATAAATTCTTCGCCACCATCTCGCTATTCTACTCACAGCCTGCACTTGTCGCTGATACAATCTTTCTTCGGCAATAATCCTTGCTCGGCGTTCCCTCAATCGAGTATCTTTTTCGTGCACCTCATCATACTGGGAGTGGAATTCAGAGTAAAACCAATCTGATGAATACCGCACCCTTGTATAATTTGTCTTAAAATTATTACTTTTTCGTAAAATGCCGAATTAATCTTTACAAATGAAGTGTCATTAGAAATGTCACGAAAATTTCACGAAAAAATACATCAAATTAGAAAATTACCTCACAGGTATTCTATTCTTAAAATAAGGATTATATTTTACTAGCTTAGAATGGCGATTCTGGCGTCTATATTCGTGCTTTTTTTGTGCCATGCAAGTTAATATTAAAAAGAAATTTAAACAAAATACAGTTGCCTTGCTCGCACATTCTCGATAATGAATAAGCGTATATATTTTGTGAAATTAGGTTAGTGCTCTCACAAATTAGGTTAAAATATCGTCAATGTGATAAGTAAAATGGAAACAATTCAAGTTAGGCCGGAGAGGTAGTATATTAATTCCTATTGTTTCAAAATATTCTGCGCTAGCATTGTATTTTCCTTAATACTGGTGATCGCTATGTAGAACCATTATTTAAAAGCGAGGGACGCTCAAATGTAAGACTTTAGATGACGCCGCCCGCGGGCGCTCCCTGCGGCACGTAACTCCTCTTTCTCTAGACCAGTGGTTCCCAACGGGGTCGATGGGCTTTTAAAAGGGGTCGATGCTGTAAGAGTCAATAGGGGTGAAGTGGCTCGCGGGTCACTCGTGTTTCCAGTCCAGAGGTTCCCACTGGGGTCGATGAAATTTGAAAAGGCGCCAATGATGTAAGGGTCGACAGAGGCTGCGAGTGGCCTGGGGGCTACTCTCCTATCTCAGTATTTTCGACCCCCTAGGGGTCGATGCTAATTGTAAAGAGGTCGATGGGAAACAACAGGTCGATAGGGGGTCTCGAAAGTTGAGAATGTGCCGGCGAAGAACCTTTTGCTTGCACAAAATATACATGGATTAATAATTATACTACCGTTTCTTATACAACGCTTAGCATCTAATAAAACATGTTTAGATCTGTAAAATTTTAAATAATACTTTCACAAAAAAATTAAAAGTCATTTATGTGAAATTATTTGTGTTATGACTATGTTCAACGCATATATTACAGGCAAAAATAAAGGGGCGATAAAGCAATTTTTTTAAAGGGGTCGAAAGTAAGAAAAAGTGTGGGTGTCCCTGTTCTAGATTCTAGATTAATCTCAATTCTGGCATGTGATTAACGTTTTTGATAGCTATTGTTGCCAAACGAGTATGGAAGGTCGTGATCGATATATAACACGTAAAAATGGTTCACTTTCATTTCAGGAACGTTGGATAAGTTCTCTGCCCTCAGAACTACCTACTGTTTTGACATTTCACCAAAGGAGAAAGTTCAATGAAAACTATTTTTATAGTGATAGATTGTTGTGAAAGTATTCTGACAACACGTTCAATACAACTATTGTTAAAACTTAATATTTTCCGGAATCTGTATTTAGTTACATGATTTAGAGTTCCCTGTAGAAATGAGAGATTCAACTAACAGGAATTGTTTGCTTGGCGGAACTTTTGTATGAGGTGCACGACTTTGTCAAGTGATTCTTGTCTTTCTTGCTTCGTGATGGGTTTTAATAGAAAAAAAAATGAACAATTACAGACCACTTACGAAAAGAAATATTTTATTTGGAATATCTTATTTTTTGGTGGAATACGTGAAACTACAGTAAGAAGGTATTGCATTTGTATTTTTGGACAAGTCATGAACTGAACTCTGTGGTCGTGAATAGTAAATGCAGCATTTTAACCTCCTAAAAATCACAACAAAGTTGAAAATGATTTTTGTCTGTACAGTATGAAAGAAACTCAAGATATTCCATTTTCCCCAAATTAAAATTGTTTGTATACTCGTTACATTATGTCATATTTATTGTGTTAACCAACCTTCACAGGTTGTATGAAACATCAACTTGATCTCCAAATGCCTCAACAAGTAATCAGTGAATGAATTTTACGTGTGTTACAGATAGAAAACACAGGCGGCTCAGTACCACTTATGATGAAATATTATTCACTCTCAGACCCCCGACATCTCTGATTACTACTGAACATTAATTATATTCACTTTTCATGACTTAATGATTATATTGCAGGAATTACTTGTTTACGGCCTAAAATGCCTATATCAGCACTAGAGCCAAAAAATACGTCGCTCCTGAAAAGTTTTGGTTAATAATTTGAATTTTCGAATTTTTACAATTATTTTTACGATTTACTCTAGTTTTCGAAAATTATTGTTGTTATTTACACTGGTTTCAAAAGTGATTTATTTCATGGAAAAATAATTTTGAAATTTATGACTTAAGCACATCATTGCAAGTAGTTTTAGATTAGATTAGAGTTATTGTATTAGATTTGATATATATATATATATATATATATATATATATATATATATAAATAATTAGATTAGATTTATGTAACGACTGGGGGAGAAGATAATTTGCCCACGTTTCGTCAGTTCCAAAATCCCTTTCTATCATTTTAACTATAAATAGTTGATAGATGAGTAAAAGTTAAATATAAATAATTAAAAATAAAATTTAAAAAATCACGAGACATTTGAAAAACTAGACATTTTCGTTCCAAGTTATAGAAAGCGTATTGGCAACGGTAAATATACGTTTGCAAGGGCGTGTAGGGGACTAAGCAGTCTTGACATAAAGAGCGCACAAGATTGCGCCAAGGGCCTACAGATTGCCACCGAGACCTCATCCAACAGAGCAAACTCGTTTTGGGAAAGTGTAGGCTCGTATGACGTGAGGTCACGAGATGACAAGTGTGCGGAGGGGGGGTCACTGTTTCATCCAATCGCGAACTTTATTAAATATTACACTTCGTATCGGAGCTCTCATCTTTTGCCTACGAGAAGAAGTATAGATGAGGGCTCGTCGGAAAAGGGGCAAGTGGGATGGCAGAGAGGCAGCGGGAGGGGGCTGTGGCGATGTTCTGGGAAGTCTCCAGGCTACCATGGCTCGAACAGAGCTTGTGATGCAAGCTTGGGCAATTGTCGATGTCGTAGTACAATCATGCCACTGTAGTGCCTCAGACCGGGAGATCCTAGTTTCGAGTCCCCACGGTGGCAGGATTTTCGACACTGGCTAGATAGCTAGGTCGAGCTGTCGCTGTCTGGAGGAGAATGGCTGGCGGCCAGATGCTTTGATCGGTAGTTTTCCGAGGTTTCTACTATCAACACCAGGGGATTACAGGAGCATTACCTAACAAATGGGCCAGGAACCGCGCGCGATTTTTCCTTGCTCTCCCTATCCTCATCCCTTACACACCCTTGCACTAACATGCAGTAGAATGCACGTAACAGTACAGTAGCATGCCGGGTAGCCGGTCGGGTGCTCTGAGCCCCCCCCCCCCCGCTGTGGCGGTGCCCCGCTGGTGGGAGATACCGGGTTGGGGAAAGCCCCGCCGCCGCCGCCGCCGCCTTCCGCGATAACACATGCACTAAACTCTAAACGTGCGGGTCCAGCGCCCTTAGCAAGCAGCCAACGGACGCGGTACGGGGAGGTGGAATGCTGCGGTCGCGGGGGCGGCGGCCTTGGGCATCCTCTTTGACCGCGGGAAAATCCAGACATACTCACAGCGTGCTGGGCATAATCTTTCAAATACTCCGTAGATTTTATTTCCAATTTCAATCCTTCTGAAATTAATTCCACATCTTCTTTGTCCTTTTCATGCCTTTGATCAAACATATCAATCTTCTCTATAATATTCTAAAAAAAAATGTGAGTTTTCGGAGGTAATTTTATGACTGGGATGCTGGAATTACTACCCGAAGAACTCTACTTACACTCAAATCTTGACGGTAGTACGTCATAATATTCTCGTGGGCATAAATCGTATGTTTAATTTGTTTATGAAGCTCTTCGACAGTGTTTTCCATTTGTACTTCTTCGCGCTTCAGGCGATACGTGTTTTGAAACTTTCGAGAATCAATCCATTTGTCCATATATTCATTTTCTATACCATTGTAGTATACGACTCTCCGGCAATATCCCTAAAGGATATGACGATGTTGTTAACATCGGGAGAAGACAAATGTTTTTGAAAAATATTCAGCGGGAACAATGAGCGCTGCTTAAATCCGTTTTATATTAACATATCCCCGTTTTTTGCAATACTAATTAAAAACAAAACATGAAAAATATAACATATAAATTAAAAAAATAGTTTATATTAACGACATGAGAGACAGATGAAAACAATTTGTATACTTAAAAAACAAAACAAAATAATAGAGCGAAATCTCGTTTATGTCATCTTCTACAATACGTTTAGCACTATTCATATGAAAATTTTCAAGAGAATGTTTGGAAAAAGTGTTAAGATTTTTTGAATGTTGCACATACTTAACTCAGTATTGCGTGAAAACTACTATCATTTTCAAAAAACTGTGATCTTAATGACAGAACTAATTATGAAGAGAAAATTTAATTTGAGGGAAAAATCTTAATCTTCAATATTATAGTTGTAGAAAGTCCCCGAAAAAAATTTCAAACTTTTGAGGTTTTCAAAAATTTAGAGTTTTTAGGAAAAATTAGACTCATGCTACATTTTAAAGTGTGTGTAACTCTATTCTTATGAGAAATTTAAGAAAACGTTTGGAACCATTTTTGAGGAAATTTAAAAAATGGCCCCACGAGTACCCCCAAAATTAGAAGATATTATTAAAATACCGAGAGGTTTGAGTGAGGCCAGTTTGACAGGGATGTATTCACTTTGGAACGAATCCTACGTCTAATTTAGACACTAGTGTTGTTCACAGACTATAGACGGACAGATGGACGGACGCACGGACGGGCAGACGGGCAGTCAGTCAGACGGATAGACGAACGTTTAAAAAAACACTTTTTCGGTATCAGGGGACACTAAAATGTATTTTCGTTGAAATGTGAAAATCGATTACATAACTCGAAAGAAGTAAAAGGGATTTTGTGTAATATTTGATAATTCACTTCAGTTAAAATGAACGCTACCAAAAGTGGAAGATTTTTCCCCAGCGGTTAGGAACCCATTACCTTCACTCTGCACCGCTGACTATGGTGAGTCTCTGATTTGGCTCGACTAACGGCTCGAAAATCTTTTATTGTTTCTCGGACCAAGTTAATGTTTTTTAGATTCTCCTTATAATCGTCGATCAAGTTATTTTCTTCTCTCTCTTCGAGATGCGGGATGAGTGCAGAGTACTGGAGAACAGAGTATGAACCTTCGTTCAGCAATTCTTTTGCCGTCTCGTTCAAAATTCTTGTAATTTTTACACTGCAACAGACGAGCGTTGCGGAAAATGTATTGGCACATGTGTATTCGGGATTCTCTAAGAACGTCAAATGTTTACCATTCTCTGCGTCTTGCCTCTTTTGCACCGTCCTCATATACTTCATATCGCCCGGCGATTAAGGGAAGATCATACGGTTTGCGGTAAAATCTGTGCAAAGTGACACAAAAGCATTATTAGTTATGGAATGTGCAATGTGATTGTTAACATTTGCAATAACATAATTTGTAAAAAACAATTGTAGCAATATACATATTCTGTCATTTGTTGCACGGAGTACCGTACCACCAGGGAGCCCAATTGGCAATTGGGAAGTGCACCGCTGGGCCGGCGAGGTTGGTCGGAGCTTTCCTCACATCAACGGGCGGAAAAGAGTGTGGCTGTTTAGCACATGCACTGCCTTGGGAGTACGAGAGCGGGGAAAGAACAGGGAAGGCAGGCTGATTGTCACTAAATCCAACAAATTTGCGCCTCCATCCTGATATTCGGCTTTTCACGTGGTCGAGTTGTCACCAATCACCGCAGTATTTCTGCTTCCTATTTGCACAGTGCCTGTCGTCCTATTTCATTAGTGTATTGCTTGATTGCTATTGGTTGTATTCACTTAAAAAGTACGAGACCTCATCGGGGCACAAACGACATCTCAAACATTGTAGTGTTTTAATAAAGCAAATAGATAGGTAGAAAATAGAAAATGTTCACTATGAAAAGTTAATAAATATAGTTGTACCCAAAACAATGTATAGAATAAATATATTTGAAATAAATTCTTGCGATCGTGATGAAATCATTACAATTATTGAAAGGTGTGTTTTTGTATGTGCATCCGCGATTTATTTTATTTATTTATTTATTTATTTATTTATTTATTTATTTATTTATTTATTTATTTATTTATTTTCATAAAAAACAGTTAAAAACTGTGTGTTATGTGCTATGGGGAGAAGTTAATTTGAAGTTAAATTTGTGTCCAGAAGCAAAACAAGGGGCTATCTCAGCATTTGCTCAGGGATAAGGGCAACTGGACGAAAACCTGGTCCAGATGGGGTTATTGACCCATAAGCTGAAGAACAATACTTGTTACAGTGCTTTAGAATTATACAATGGAAACGGGAAATAATACACTAAATGTCGTTGTTAAAATGAATATTCCTTTCCTTTTGGATGCTCGGTAGAGTCTTTAATTGTATAGAAACAATTCTGCAGCAGAAAGTATTTTACTTGGGACTTAAACTTTTGAATCGAATTTCATTGTTTAATGTCATCTGACAAGGTGTTGTAAAATTATGTACATTCATTGTAAGTGAATTTTTGTAGTGGGCTGTTGATACTTTCACCTGATGAATATGATTACTACGTCGATTGTCGTATCGTTTACGTGTAGTAGGGAGAGAGTAGGGCTTCAAATGATCCCTGCGAACTCCACATGCAATTGGCAAAGAATCAGAAAGGTGTATATATAATTTTCTATTATTTCAGTAAGGTCTGTCTACTCTCCGAGATCGTTAAGGTACGAACATAACCAATCTACAGCAATGCTACGAATTCCATTCAAAGGTAATTTTGAAAGTAAAATGTTATGATCAATGACGTCAAAAGCTTTTGAAAGTTCTAAAATATTACAATAGGTGCTTCCTTTTGACCCATAGATGAGGTGACATCTTTAAGAAAAGAAAATTTGGCTGCTTTCGTAGATTTTGATTTACGAAACTCATGTTGAATCCGATTGTTGAGTTACCTTAACGGTCGCAGCTAAATGTGTAGGTGATATATTATTTCAGTATTATAGTTCTTAATATGTCGTCGATAAAGGAAATAGCGCGTTTCTCGTCGATACACAAGAAACGGGACCACTCTCAAATACCGTACATTTTTAGCTTGAATTTTTTTAAAAGCATATATTTAAGAGGTTTGTTTTCCTAAACAATTGTCAGAAGAAGCCGGTGTCTACGAAACCCCTTTGGTTTTTGACACCAAAATGAACTGTCACCACTCAGGAACTGACATCACATCTTTCTTCTCCTGGTATGTATGACATTGATTGATATGCCTCAAATTTCATGTGCACTAACGACCTGTGAAAATCAAAACAATTGTCGCGGAAAAGTGACCAATGAGAAAAATCTGTCTTAATACAGACAACTGTACTTAAATAACCCTCAGTGTCGTGTACTCAGTCTTCGAACCCACAGAGACTATCTATTCCCGATCTGCATCACGCACATTGGTAAATCAGATACTAGCTGTACAGGGATTCGTGTTTCTTCGAAATGGATGTTTATATTCTGAACGTCACTATCTGTATTCAAAAATAGTAAGATTGTGTATTTAAACATATGTATATCTACGATAATGTACGATATGGATATGTACGCAAGTATACTATGTGAATCTAAGTGTATGTATGTGTATTTAGGCATGTGTACTATACGGGGCAAGCGTGTGTACGTATTTATGAGTGAGTGAGCATTGATATATAAGAATTTGTAAGTATGTGTTAATATTTGTGTAAGTATAATGTGTGCATATACTTGTATGTATGCAGGTAAGCAGGGTTGTTCGTAATTAATAAGATATATCAATAGTCAGTACACATGTGTATACGCGCATTTTTTAAAAAAATATTAATAATGACGGTTGGTTTTACAGGAGTCTCTAAAGGCAGCTCTTATATCGTATAATTTTTTGATGTAGTAGTAGATGTAGTTGTAATTTCTTTTATTGTGTTGCATTGTAAATTGTTTTTGTATTGTGAAAGTAGATGTATTGCAAATCTCTAGGTTATGGTTACCACCTGGCAATCAGCCAATTGTAGCCAATTTATTATTATTATTATTATTATTATTATTATTATTATTAAATAATATTATTATCATTAAATATTATTGTTGAGAGCGGTTAACAACAAAAATTCGAAACATCGATTTATGAACAAATTCCGTATATTCATAATCGAGTACGTCTAATCATCGATGTTTTGAATTTTGTGGGTTATCTGCCTCTCCCAGTGTATGCCTCAATTAATACAAAAATATAAAACTAAAACAAACAAACACTTCACCTTTCAAGTGGAGTCCGATACGAAAGAAGTCTTGACGTTTCGTCTTCCTCATCAAGAATCGATGTTTCTAGAATCCCAATAATTGGGTAAACGTCTTCGAAAACTGTGATAATTGCTACTGCTTCAAGTTCCGAAAGCTGAGTGGACACAGTGGTCTTCGGTGGCCTTCTGCGCTTTGCTGCTTCTATGAATGACAATCGTTGTAAGGAGGGCAGCGCTTTTCTCACGCTTCGCAAAGGGGAAGATGACTTCGCGCGGATGGATTTCTCCGACAACCGTTTCTTCTCCCCGATTGGGTACATTGATTTCACCCATTTCTTCAGTATGCTCGATATGAATAATGCTAATCCATTATCTTTACTATGGTAATGTGGTGTTCCAAAGGACTTCCGTTTCATACTCAGTGTTGCTCTTTTTCTGCTGTCATAAGAGTCTAGAACAGGACTTCCTTGTGATATTGATCTGGATTTGCTGTACATGTTCCTGCAGCAAAATATCCTGTGATGTTCTCACGAACACGTGTTTTTGAAATCATAAATTGTACGATAAATTAGTTCTAGCAAACTCATAAAAGTTTATAAAAATCAACTATGCTCTCCATCTACGAACACTTCATCTCGTTTCTATGGTAATACTAAGACAGATTTTCAATTGTCATTAAAATCAAGGGACATATAAAAACTTGAAAACAAATAGACACACTGCAAACTATTACACTTTTGAAACAATGTGGTCGGTGCACAAGAAAAAGTTACCCAGATCTAAAAAATGATTTTGTTGAAGAAAGGTATGTATTAATAAACTTCGGGCGATTCTTTACAATTAAATCATATTATCTCACATCGTTTTACTTAACTCAAAAGTTTTGAACATATAGTATATTAGGGCGCAAAAAAGTGACATATAAATAAGTGAAGAAAATCATATGAAAGTCAAAATATCAGGTATTATTTCTACAATTACACCACATTTCAAGATAAATAACTTTAAATGAACTTTATTTTATAAAGTGCATTCGAAAGAAACCTATCGACGTGTACCAGTAACAAAGGCAAATCTATAGCGCATTTATTCTTTCTCGTAAATGTACATGTATACAGAGTAATGTACATTTAGTAGAGAACGTTATGTAATACTGCGGCGAAAAATTGTCGTTATTTCGACAGAAAAACTCGTTTTGCTACCGCGATGCCGAGATGATTTTTAGATTACAGTAATTTACTCTCTGTAATACCAAGTGTAGTCATAATCTTCGTTTTGTTCTTCCTCAATACCAACAAAGTTGTTGTTTTTTCTGTGTACGTACGCATAAAGGAGTAAGTAGGAGCAGAAACAGAAGAAAGAGGAAGAGAAAACAGTGGCATTCGCTCCTTCTACTGTGGCCGGTCCACGTCGTGTAGTGTCGTTCGGGCCCCACGCGAGCCGCAATCTCCTCCACCGGCGCTGCAAGATGGCCGCATCAAAATGGAAATGGCCGCGAGGGGGGGGGCGGTTGGCGCCTTGGCACAGAGGCGGGAAGAGGGCGCCGAGAACCGACGAACCCGTGAAGCGGAGGTCCACGAGGAGCGTGAGAGCTAGTGGAACGGAAGCAGACAAGTATTGAAATTTTTTATTGAATACTAGTGGACCCCGCAGTGCTTCGCTATATGCAATGTATTGCACTTCACATGCTACTGGTCACGTGACTGTTAATTGCGTTTTACGCTACGCTCTGCAAAAATTTCAATAGACGAAACACTTTATCGCCAGTGTGGCTCCGTCTCTCTCTCTCTCTCTTTCTCTCTCTCTCTCTCTCTCTCTCCCTCTCCCTCTCCCTCTCCCTCTCCCTCTCTTTCTCTCTTTCTCGCTCT